TAAATTACAGACACTGCAGACTGAAGAGAACAGAAGAGCTGTAAATACTGCAGAAATAACGAGAAACACGGTGAGCAGAGCTCTGATGACTACAGCTGAGGACATCTCACAACAACACATCACCGCTGCTGCACCATGGAGGAACACTCAACTCTGGCTGTTTTAGACGTGTGTGTGTGTGTGTGTGTGTGTGTGTGTGTGTGTGTGTGTGTGTTAGGTGTGTCTTCAAGACCAAAGTCTGATGCTTCAGTCACTCACTGCAGTGTTGAGCAGCTGTTGGATATACAGCACAGAAACATTCCCGCATATCAGAGCCGGAGTACAGGAGAAAACACACCGTGTGGGAAACAGCAGAGGGACTGACAGAGGAACACACACACACACACTCACACAAACACACACAGAGAGAGATGAATGCGGAGGAGAAACGAAAGCGTCTCAAACATACCTGAACAGCAGATCAACTCCTCTGTGCTCACGATCAGTGGAGACGAGAGAGAGAGAGAGAGAACGGCACGCCTCTTCCTCCTCTCTCTCTCTCTCTCTGATCAGCAGAGGTGAAGAGTTAAACAGTCACTAGCTGACAAAGAGCAGTAAAATATGACACACACACACACACTCACACACACACACACACACACACACACACACACACACACACACACACACTCACTCAGGCATGTCTACACACAGAAAGGCATGCAGTGACACACACACACACACACACACTTTTCCTGTGCTTTATCACACAAAGGCAGCAGGATGTGACTGTACCTGCCCTTTCCAGCCTCTCTCTTTCTCTCTCTCTCTCTCTCTCTCTCTCTCTCCGTCTGTCTGTCTGTCGGCTCATTGTTCTCGCTCAGTGTTGTTTTGTTAAACTCCCCTCTTTTCTCTTCCCTTCCCCCACTGCACCGCTCTCAACCCAGACCCGACTGCAGTCACTGACAACTACACACACTATAAACAGACCAAACAACCAACAACAACTACAACCAACACATAAACTACACACAAACTACACCCAAACACACAAACAACCCAACACACAAACTACAACCCAACACACAAACTACAACCAACACACAAACTACAACCCAACACACAAACTACAACCAACACACAAACTACAACCAACACACAAACTACAACCCAACACACAAACTACAACCCAACACACAAACTACAACCAACACACAAACTACAACCCAACACACAAACTACAACCCAACACACAAACTACAACCCAACACACAAACTACAACCCAACACACAAACTACATACAAACTACAACCAACACACAAACTACATACAAACTACAACCCAACACACAAACTGCACTACAACCCAACACACAAACTACAACCCAACACACAAACTACAACCAACACACAAACTACAACCAACACACAAACTACAACCCAACACACAAACTACACCCAACACACAAACTACAACCCAACACACAAACTACAACCAACACACAAACTACACCCAACACACAAACTACAACCCAACACACATGCCAATCAGAAACTACAACCAAACACACAAACTACATACAAACTACAACCCAACACACAAACTACAACCGACACAAACTACAACCCAACACACTAACTACAACCAACACACAAACTACAACCCAACACACCAACTACAACCAACACACAAACTACAACCCAACACACAAACTACAACCCAACACACAAACTACAACCAACACACAAACTACAACCCAACACACAAACTACAACCCAACACACAAACTACAACCAACACACAAACTACAACCCAACACACAAACTACAACCAACACACAAACTACAACCCAACACACAAACTACAACCCAACACACAAACTACAACCCAACACACAAACTACAACCCAACACACCAACTACAACCCAACACACAAACTACAACCCAACACACAAACTACAACCAACACACAAACTACAACCCAACACACAAACTACAACCAACACACAAACTACAACCCAACACACCAACTACAACCCAACACACAAACTACAACCCAACACACAAACTACAGCCAAACACATAAACTACAACCCAACACACAAACTACAACCCAACAC